GCGTAATATTCGCGGATATAAATATTTATAGGTGGAGTTATGCATCCATGACTTCACTACCACACCACTTATGCTTCCCTATGAACACACTAGAGTGAATGTAAACCAAATCAAAATTCAGTTTTTGCTGCTGTTTGTTTTGGCATGTGTACTTACTGCAGGGAGGGGAGAGGAGGAGGAGGGCCAGGAATAATATGGACGCCACCATTGCTGCTGGTGTGAGCTTGCAGCTGCAATAAGCCATGGCTAAAAGCCTGAAAGCTGAAATCTCTGGAGTTATTGGATTTTTTTTAGGGGATGGAGTTATTGGATTTGGTTGGATTTGAAAGGGTCAATTAGGCCTAGAGGGGGGTGAATAGGCTAATTTAAAATTTTATGCAGAAGCTAAAACTGAAATAAGGTCGGAAAGTCTGATCCACAGTCAGACTATCCGAAAATATCAGATAGTCTGATGTTGGATCAGACTGTCCGATCCACCAATGAAGCACAACAAGTAGATCTATCACACAAACAAGAGTAAAGCACAAACAGCGACTAGATCTATAGCGGCACAATTAAGCAAAGCTAAAAGGAGGATGAAGGGAGATCACCAATGATGAAGTTCATGAAGTTGTTCCCGGAGTTCAAATCCTTGAGGGGATTCTACTCTCCGTTGAGGAGCTCACTAAGAGCCGGGTCTTTGCTAACCCTTTCCTCAAGAGGTTGCACTAAGCACTCCTCCTTCCACTAAGGGGTATCTTTTTCCTTGCGGAGGTGAGATCCGGCCTTCACAAACTTCTCTCAGCCAACCACACGTAGATCGGTGGCTCGGGAGTGACACCTAGCCGTCTAGGAGTACTCAACCTCCAAGAGTAACAAACACCACACAACTCTTGGTCAAACCCTAGTGCTCAAGATCGAGTGAAACACACACTAGGCCCTCAAACACCAAATCCACAACCACCAAGATCCACCACACAAAGAACAAGGAGGGATTTGAGAGAGGGAGAAAGAGCTCAAAGATCCAAAGCACCTTAGCACCAAGCTCAACCCAAAGTGAATGAGAATGAAATGGGTTGGGTAACCCTAGAAAAGGGTTAGGTGGGGGGTATTTATAGACCCCCCAAAAATGTGGCCGTTGGAGGGGAATCTTTCAGCCCACGTCGGATAGTCCGATACAAGATCGGATAGTCCGATATTTTAAACCTCCAAGGCAACGAGAAATAGAGAACGAAGTTCCATGAAATTTCGGACTTTTCGAGACATCGGACTATCTGATGTTAAATCGGAGTATCTGATATTTTAGAAGCAAAAACTTTGTCCTCAAACAGAGACTCAAGTTCTATGAAATTTCGGAGTCTCTGTATCATCGGACTATCTGATCCGACATCGGATACTCCGATACTTAGAAAAACTCACTCGATAGGATTTTTTTCAAATCAAGATAGAGAGTGAAGTTCTGTGAAAAATCGGATAGTCCGATACATCGGATAGTCTGATTTCAAATCGGATAGTCTGATGTTGCTAAAGTAAAACTGCAATAACTTTTTACTCCGAACTCCGATTTCGAAGATCTTGGACTCTATGGAAAGCTAGTTTCGTGGGCTATCAAACCCAACATAAAACATGGTCCAAAACCTTCAAGAGATGTTGAAAAACTTGCAAAGAAACCCGGTGTAAGTGTTGTGACAAGTGAAACAACTCGGGATTGAAATTTTGACTTAGGTTTTTCAACTCACACAAAGATGAAGCATTTTGAGCACTAGTATTCTACCAATAATATGCATGTGGTATCCCTCTTAATAGTACGACATTCCTACGACACAATGTAAGGTAAAAGATACAATATACCATTTGATCATTGCCGCATTGCATCGTGATGTCGCATTCATGGGGTATGCATCTCATTACAACATGTTGAGGACATAACAACCTTCACATTTGCTTGAATAAAAGTGTTAGTCCTCTCTAATCGCATTGTAATCAATCATCAAAATCATTAGGGTCCTAGATGCACTTTCAGGATTTGATCTGCAGGGGTGACTATTTGTAAGAAATCAGCCACTGATTGGAAATGGATGGCATTGATGATTTGATAAAAATCTTGATCAAGATGTATAAGTGGATAAGGGGTAAGTATTAACCCTGTGTCTAATAATGGTATTTTTTTTAATAATGAATAGAAATATGATCTCTATATCCACACAGCTAACTAATAATGGCATTTAGGATTGTGTTAATATCTTAGTGTCTTGCTAACTGCAGGATGATCCAGCTTATTTGAGACTTGGCATGCATTCCCTGATTAGGCTATGTGTGACTTTGTTCCATTTTACTTCATCGAGGTCCTCTGAAGCAGAAATTGCTTTCGTTCAGGTTCAGCTGCTCCTTGGTATCTAATTAACAAAAGTTATCTACAAAAAATCTAAGTAAGAAAAAAAAATAGCACCAGAGCTTTTCAACGGCGTGGAAGGAACACAAGGCACGTTTCTTCGAGAACGAGGTTAGGAAGTTCAGGACTCTGTCGCAAGAAGATGGTAAAGGAATATCGCCGGGGTTTTGACACCATTGTGGCGTTGGTTGTATGGACGATCGCCGAGGTTTTGACACCATCACGACGTTGGTTGCATGGACGATCTGAAAAGAAAGAAACAATCGAGTCTTCAGCCAGAAGAGCAGAACTTGAGCGGAGGTTGCAAGGGTTATGGCGGGTGAAACGGAGCTGTGGCAGCTAGCTAGAGCTGCAATCCCTGTTTTGGCAGCTCATGTTAGTGGAGAAGGGTCGCAAAATTTAGTTGGAGATTAGGCTTTTGGTTCTTGGTTCTCCTCTTGTACCTCGTCCCTTTTGCTTTGTCTTTTTGGCCCGCTTTGTACATACATTTATGGACGCGACTCCGGCTCGGGCGGCCGATAGAAGGAGGTTAAAATCGAGAATAACATGATTATCCAAAACATTTACGTGCAAAATTACTCTAAACTGATTTTTCTCTTAAATTACTTATCCAAATCATGATCCGATTGCACCATTAAATCTGTTGCAATTAAATCTTCAAAACAAGACCACACATGGATATATTCCGACGAAAAAAAATTATCTTATTATCGAATTATTTTTAAATGTTGCACGATTTTCCACCAGGTATATCGGAATTGTTTCACTAAGTAGATCGAAAATGTCTCACTCGTTTAAATCAGGTGTTGTTTCACCTTATATAAAAACAATGTTTCAACAAATAGTGAAAAAATATTTCAGTTCACTGCAACATTAGATCTATACATAGTGAAACATTGTGAGTACACTAGGTGAAACATTTTGTGTGGAACAAAAAATAAAACGAATTCCATTAATAGAGGGTTTCCAAAATATGTGGGTGATTTGTTGCAATGGAATATTTCAATTCACTGCAACATTAGATCTATACATAGTGAAACATTGTGAGTGCACTAGATGAAACATTTTGTGTAGAATAAAAAATAAACCAAATTCCCTTAATAGAGGGTTTCCATAATATGCGCGTGATTTGTTGCAACGGCGCGTTCCATAATATCAAAATCCACTGCAACATTTGATGCAACATTTGATCTGTACATAGTGAAACATCGCGAGTACACTAACTGAAACACCGTAAAACTACTGGTCGAAACATCAAAAAGATCATATGTAACATTCAAAACATATCAATAAAAAAGCTAAAATATTTTTTTATCGAAATATAATCATGTGTAGTCTTGTTGTAAAGATTTAATTGCAACGAATACAACGGCGTGATCGGATCGTAAATTGGATAATTAGTTTAGGAGAAAAATCATTTTAAAACTATTTAAAGTAGCAACGGTGGGAGGCGTGGGCGCCCGATTTTTTCTTCTGCCGTTGGACGCCCAGCACGCAGCATTTCCGTACATTTATTCCTTCTTGATAAAAAAATGCGCTCCTTACGTATTAAAAAAAAGTTCAGGACTTAAAAAGTCCTTCAAGAGCTCAAGACGTAATAGGTAGTAGTCGAAATTTATTTGTTTATTTATTTTTTGCAAGATGAGAACCTATATATGTGTGCCCTGCCTATTCTTGTAGTGAAGAAATCGCTTTTTTAAAAAAAAATGATCAAGCCAATTACACTTGTATATCCCATTTTTCTTAAGAAATTGGGCAGCTGAATCATGTTGGACAGTAAAGTTTTCCCCTTTTTACTGCACTGACTGCCCATTATGCAATCCTCATCAGAATACAGATTTCTCCAGGGGAAAAAAATCAGATATCAACTTATCCAAATTTTCCAGTGCTAACTTCAGCATCACCTTGATGTAAAATCGTAAATACACAAGAGGAAAAACATCAGTTGTACGGGGGATTTGAGGATTGAGCACCGATTATACGTGATTTCTGTTTATGATGGTTGTATGATCAAATGTTTCTCTCCTAACGTTTATTAACGGCTGCAAGTTTCGGTTCAACGCAAAATTGGATTCCTCTTTCCACATGGGCAGCGCAGCGATGGATCGTACTAAAATCATAAACAAACATAATATGCACAGTATTTTCTTTTTAGAAATTTCCTGCTTTACAGGGTGCGTTCGATACACGGTTGTAGCCACAACACTGCCAGCCGAACACGCCCACTATTAGTCGAACTCTAGGATTTGCGGTTCACTGGTAGTTGAAACTTAGTCATTGCCACTATAGGTTGATCATGACCCACATATCATGTACGGGTGGTAAAACATAGAACACCCCTACTAAGACATTGTTCAGTTTAAAGGGGATTGAAGAGGATTGGATTGGAGGGGATTGAGGGGGAATAATTCCACACCGCAGTAGGTGTGGAATAAATCCTCTCCAATCCCTCCCTCACAGGGATTAACCGAACAAGGCCTAAGGGGCGAAAAATACTCAGGTTTTTCCTCTATAACAAGGTAGAATTTCGCCGGACACAATAAGGTAGAATTTCACCAAATAAGGTAGAATTTCACCATATATATAGTTGGTATTTTCTTAATTCTCAACAACTCGATTCAACACTTGGTCAAGAAAACAACTCGATTCAACAAATTCAGCAATCGTCAACACACAAGTTAATTTATTCCCATGGTGTATCCATCACAAATTGATGATGCCATGTATTTTTCTCACAGAATCAACCTTCTCACTGCAGGAGTAGGAGCAATAGTAGGAGGACGGCCGGCTTGCACAGCATTTGTGCATTTGGTGCACACGCAGTCACCCAATCGACTACCATAAAACTCACAGAATCCAATCAAATAACCAGCTGCTACACACTGATTAGCACAAATTTGAGGGCTCAGGCAGGTCGGATTCGGCGCTCTTACAGTTGGGCAGGATAAACCAGCTGCATCTGTTCAAGCCAAAATTAAGAGAAGTTTTTGTTTGTGAGAAGTATATATATGTGAGAAATTAGTTAATTACTAGCCCCCAATGCTTCATAAAATACGCAAAAAGAGTGTACGTATACTATGATATTACCGCAAGACATGACGAGGACCGACAATATTAGGATGGATGCAAATATGGAGGCAACCTTGCAAGCCATGGCGAAACACGAAACCTTAGATACCAGTTGCTATTAGGTGCAGAACCCAAAGGGTGGGTAGTTTTTTTTTTCTAAGCACAAGGGTAGGATATCATGCCTATTTATAGGACAAGAAAGGTGAATTCTTTTTTGAAAATGGGTATATGGATAAAATGTGTAACATTGGAAAGAATTTATGGTTTGCTATCCATTAACCATAGGACGATACAATTAACTAGGAAAAAAAAGGATGCGTTGAACATGCATGGATAGTATAGCCAATAATAGAATCGTTTAAATTGGCATTAGAGAGAAAATAAATAGGCGTTTAACATGCATGGATAGTATAGTCAATAATAGAATCGTTTAAATTGGCATTAAAGAGAAAATTTAATGATTGATGATAGATTAACGGTTGAGCCAAATATAGAGGGGTCGGGCTCATCTTTACAATGAAGTGGGCCACAAAATGTAACGTTGCTAACTATTTTCATTTTTTTTAGATAGCATTGAGGTGAATTTGCTTGTTTAGTACTCTCAAGTCTCATGTATACGATTATACGAGGTGTCAATAGCATGAGACGAATTTTTTTAAAAAAATAATACGATTGTAATGGAAATCGCAAAAATATATCGATTAGACGAAATCGCATGATTAGCACCCTGTCGAACAACCGTGGTTCGACAGGTGTAGTTCAACATGCACCTGTCGAACTGGGTGCAGTTCGACAGGGTAGTTGATAAAAAAAACAAAAAAGTACTGCTACCGGAATCAGCGAGAACATGTAGAACTGGCAAAGTTTGATAGGGTCGCGTGAATAGTATCGCTGCAGACATATCCAACTTTCAAAGTTCGACTGGTCGTGGCTACAGTGCGCTACAGTGCTGCTACAATGTTTTGTTTTTATTTTTTGAAGTTTTTTAATCACCTGTCGAACTGCCACAGTTAAACTGTGGTTGTTCAATGTCGAACCCCGGTTGTTCGACAGGCTGCTACTCTTGCGATTTCGTCTAACCGACCTATATTTTTACAATTTTCCATTAAAATCGTATTATTTTCAAAAAAAAATCGCATGAGACGTACTTACATGATGAAAAATTGGAAGCGACAATGAGATATGTTATGAAGTGCTTCCTCCATTCCAATTTGATCATTGTCTAAAATTTTTAAGGTCTTTTTAATCATCATCTAATCGTTTATTTGTATATGAGTAAATGACATCGCTGCATGCTTATTCATTTACGTGTATAGGAGTAAATGATATCGTTACATGTCTGCACGTTTGCGTACCTTGACCGATGAGATTTAATTTTAAGAAGGAAGGAGATTTTGTTGCTTTAGTCTCGGCTCCATTTACAAATATGATATAAAACTGGGATGGATAGAGAGAATAACGAATGGGAACCATGGTCAATGAAAAGCAGTAATTATGAAGCTACTGGAACTATGCAATTGTATAGCCTTGCTTCCGACTTATGGCCACCAACACGTACGGCTCCTCTGGCACGGCTTCTCTGGCACACCTTCGGCTTCTCCTCGATCGCTGCTGCTGCTGATTTTATTGAAGGTGAATAGCCGGAAACTTTCCCTCTTGGTAACAGCCTACATAATTCTCTGCTGTTACTCTCAACAAGCCGCTGAATTGAAACAAAATTCTGCAGATTCTGGAGTTGAGGTAAATTGCCAATTGTCTGTTGAACATTTCTGGCATGAAACAAGCATGTTTAAAGTAAATATAGAATGGCATAGCATTGGACTCAATGAATCAATCAGGTTGCCGACATATGGTTCACTCAACAGTTCCGCTTGCCCAGGTCGATACAGAGTAAATTTCACCGCCTGCTACAAACAATGTCATGGACATCAATGTCCATTCTTTTTTTGCTTTGTTTCCAAGTTTACATCTTATTCCAAGACAACAGAAAGAGACCGTCAAAATTGCAGCCTTTCCTAGCTAGATACTATCGGAGGAGGATTTTCAACAAATCAGTGCTTGGCGTTGACAAGAGCCATGTGGGCAATCAGATCCAACACACGGTTGCTGAAACAAAGAATGGAACAGAATCATTAGGACAATAGAACAATTGGAAAAAAAGATGAAGAGTTAAGCCCCTTAATGGAAATATAGACACTCACCTGTAGCCCCACTCGTTGTCATACCATGACACAAGCTTCATGAAGGAAGAGCTCAGTCCAATACCAGCCTTGGCATCAAAGATGCTTGACCTGATATGCAGAAAGGGGCAGTTATGTCAACCACTCCCTTTTGAGCACAACACAATTTACATCGGTACATCTAGAAGTACTTACCTTGCATCACCAACGAAGTCATTGGAAACCACATCCTCATCTGTGTAACCTAGAATACCTTTCAGTGCACCCTCTGATGCTGCCCTGAAACACACAGCTTATGAGTAAATCTGATAAAAGATTCACAATGTTACATACAGGCACATCACAGAATCTTCAGACGGTACAAGTGCATGACCGCAGTTTCTAGCACAGTCAAAAGACGTAACAAGGGATATGTTACTTTTGCAATTCATTTGTGAACACAAGTATTATTCTGTTCACGTTCAAATTATTGAAGGCTACTGTATACCAACTCAAGCATTTTAAGACTTAAAACAATTGACCAAACAGAAACAGCAGATAATGTGCATGGACAAATGATAGTCCTACATACTTGATGGCTGCTTTCACATCGTCATAGGATGCACTTTTTTCAATCCGGCAGGTCAAGTCGACAACAGACACATTTGGTGTTGGAACTCGGAAGGCCATACCAGTGAGCTTTCCATTTAGCTCAGGGAGGACTTTCCCAACAGCCTAATAAGGAATCAAAACAGTCAGCCAAAACAGAAATCTAGAAAAGCAAGGTAGATTTTTGGTTCATCGTACCTTGGCTGCACCAGTGGAGCTAGGAATTATGTTTTGAGCAGCACCACGCCCTCCTCTCCAATCTTTCATTGAAGGGCCATCGACAGTCTTCTGGGTGGCTGAATATAGGAAAGCAAGTCTGTTATGACTAATGAACAACATGATATGAGGAGACTGAAAAATTGGCAGTCTCCATCCTTGACAATGACAAAATTCATAAGGGAAAGAAAACCTGTTGTGGCATGAACAGTTGTCATGAGACCCTCAACAATGCCAAATTCCTCATGGACAACCTGCATACCCATGGAATATCAATTAGCTCCATTGGATGGACGAAAATATGAAAAATCACAAGAGCAAATTGTTTGTTATGATTAAAATGGGAAAATAGTAACAGGATTAGAAATAGATAAGTTACCTTGGCAAGAGGAGCAAGACAGTTGGTAGTACAACTTGCGTTAGAAACAACATTCATTTTAGGATCATAGCTCTTCTCATTTACTCCAACGACAAACATTGGAGCATCTGCTGATGGAGCAGATATCACAACTTTCTTAGCACCGCCCTACAAACAAGGCATAAAAACATCACCATTTTATCCAATATAAAAGCTTGCCATTTCTCAGTTAGATGGCAATGTATAGAAATGGTGTACAAACCTTCAAATGTGCCGATGCCTTTTCAGTTGTTGTAAAAACACCTGAAGATTCAACAACATACTCAGCTCCAAAGTTACCCCAAGGAATATCTGCTGGATCTCTGGAAAAGAAGGGGGCAAATTCTTAGGTGCAAATGCAAGAACTAACAGAAATTAATGTAGTCACAGAAACATAATTGTGTATCGAGAGCAGGGGCACGGTGAAGAAAGGATTGTGAAGTACCCCAAATGTACAACGTACACAACAATACTGAGTTACTTTAGGAGCTAGGACTAAAAGGTACTCAATTATAAATCCGTATAGCATGTTCAGTCAATCACTCCATACTCCAGATATGGTTAGAGTCGTAAAGACACTTTACTTTTCTTTATTTCACAAGGCTGCACATTGTAATATATTCGACTATACAAGTAAGCAGTGATACGACAAAAGACCAGATTATACGTTAGGCTACAATAATTATTTTTCCAGTGATCCAAAGAATTTTAGGTTGAATCCATGATGGCATGGGAACACAGTGATGCAATACCTCAATAATTGTGAGATCCAAATTTACTAGCAATGTTTCAAGAGGGTTTTTTTTTACTAATAATCATCAAACACAATACTTAGATAACAAATAATTGTGACATTCTATGTAATCATGTACTAGTCCCTAAGTGGACTTGATATTACCTTTTGCTAGTGATTGTGACTTTCTTTCCATTGATCTCCAGGGTTGAATCATCCACAACCTTAATGGAGCCTTTAAATGGACCATGAGTGGAGTCATACTTGAACATGTAGGCCTGGAAAAAAGAAAGAGATTATCTACAGAAAGAAAAGGCACAACCAAATGTTGCATCCGCATGGAAGGATGGGTTGGTACTCCCACAGTGACAGGAATTATGTTGCATTAGGAGTAAAACATTGAAATGGACTATTATGGTCATTGAACCGAACACATAAGGTAGGGATGCAGTTTCGTGTGATTATATGGAAGAACCAAGAAACTGTGCCAATATATAACTAGCAAATTGAAATGTAGCACAATGGACTGCATAGCATATTTAAGTAACTTAAGGTGAATGCACATTAAGTAGGTTTTTCAATGATTTCAAATAAAATATTATCTGCATCAATCTTAATTTAGCTTAAGCTGAGAAAAGGCCAATCTTTTCGTCAAGGTTTATAACACTTACAAACCTAAAAGAACGTAACATGGCATCATATAAGCTAATGCAGTGTAGCAAATGCAAGCAAAACTTCATCCCCCCAAAATTGAAAATATAATGTTCATTGATTAAATGAAGCAACCAAGGTATGAAATATGGGAGGTAGGCAAATAATTTGAACTATTTTCTTACCATGTATTTAGCATCAATGAAAGGATCATTGACAGCAACAACTTCAATATCATCTCTACTGGTTGCAATACGCAGGACCAACCTCCCAATTCGCCCAAACCCTATGATACCAAAAAAATAAGACAAGCATTACAAACAAATAGCAATAAATTATTTCGCCTACTTTTGATGTATGGTACAATAAACTGTAAAC